TCCCTTCTGGAATACCAGTTATCTGGATGTTTGGATGTTTGATGGTATCTCATTTTTGGGGGCGATTTTCTGTTTTCATGGTGGATTTTTCTAGGCCAGCCATTCTATCTTCTACATCTGAGATTCTATTTTTAGTATAATCTAGTCTGCTTTTTTAATACTTTCAAGGGAGGTTTTGACTTCCTATAGTAGTCTTCATCTCTAACAGGTCCATTTGATTCTTTCTTACAGTGTGAATTTCCTCTTTTAAATCTTGCAAGAATTTCCTCACCTCTTGAAGCTCATCAGCTCCTTCCCCCTGCTTCTTCGGTAGTTCATTGTCTCTCTTTTCTTCGATCTCTGTGAGGTTTGTCACCATGAAAGTTCTAAATTATTTATCTGACATTTCCATGAATTTCATACTGTCTGAGGATGAAGAGGAATTATTATTTTTCCTTAAAGAAGAAGCATTTTCTTGTTTTTCCATATTTCTTGTGACCCTGCAGTGATTTCTAGTCATCTGATGGATGGTGCATTTCTTCCTAATTCTTGAAGTTCAATCTGAGTGTTCAGAGACATGCAGAAGGAGGTGATCTGCAATGTCTCTTCCATTTTGTTCTTATTCTTTGTGCATCAGAATCAGTGGGAATAGAGGAATATTCTGACCCTAATTGTATTCAGTTGTTTAGATCTTGTTCACTTGCACCTGTCTAGACACTTAGTGTGTAGGAGTAGAAATAAGTGAGGAAGAAGTCTCAGCAGAAAAATCTTCATTTTAAGTCTCCGAAAGCAATATTTCACAGCTAAAGTTCAAGATCCATGTGGAGATGGGCCTGGGTTTGTGCCTTTCCTAAATAACCTGTTATTCAACTTAAAATGAGGATATATAATAATTTTATAAGAAATAGATCAAACACAAGCATCAAATGCAGTGGAATATGTAAAGCCTATCTAAATTGTTAGGAAACTGAAGCAATAATCAAATATAGTTAATAATTCGATATTCTGAAATTTTGCCTCCAAGGACAAATAAACCTGTTAGAATTTTCCATGTGTTGAAAATCACTTTGAGCTTCTTGTTTAAAAAAAACAAATGACAGCGACCAAAAAAATCCCCACTTATTTCAAGACCAGCAGGTGGCGTAATGGTTACAGTGCTGAACTCCCAAAAGGCCATCTGTGGTTTGAGTCCTTGACTTAGTGGCTTGAAAATCACACCGGGTACGTGTGCATGTGTGTCCAAAATCCCAGGAAGAGAATGAAAGAAGAGGGATTTAGTATGGCCATCACCTACCTCTGGGGGTTGATTTCTCACTTCCTTTTTCACTGTCTCTCCTCTCCAGCGAGTACACATGCCCTTTGGCAAAAACCTTTAAAAGTTTTTTTTTTTTCTTTTGCTAGCAAGGCATATCAATATAGTATGATAATTTATTTTTCATTTTTCCAGTTTATATTTCTAAAAATAATTATTTTATTATTATTATTATTTCATTTACTGTAAGGCACACACTCTTACCAGAGAGAGAGAGAGAATGTGAAAAAGCAAGCAGCCAGGTCCAGGACTTGAACTGTGGTTGGCTATATGGGAGTCCAGCACCTTAATCACCATACTACCTGCTGCCCCCCACCCCTTCAGTTATAGTTTTATATCTTAAAAATGTGTGAACATTCCCAAGATCTTGAGAGGAAAATGGAGGAGAAGGGATTGAGACGTGGCCATCCCCCCTGGGGGGTGATTTCTCGCTTTCTGTCTCTCTGTCTCTCTGTCTTTCAGGAGAGTGCATGGGCCCTTGTAGCAAAAAAAAAAAAAAAAAAAAAAGTGTGAACATTGTGAAAATGTTACCAAAGAAACATTGAAATACATGGGATTCCAAGTGAGAATATTCTATGTTAAGAAACTTAAGGGCAAGGCTATTTTTTTCTTTCTTTTTGTTCATGATTGTTACTATACTGCCAACATTATATCTGCTGACTAAATGAATTGGATGAAGCATCCTATTTATTTCTCAGCTCTCATATGTGCCTATTTCATTTGACCAGTTTCTACATTCTTAATGTGACCACTTTGTTTTCCATATTTTTTGTTGCCCTTACAGCATTAAATCTCTCACTTTCTCCAGTCCTGTTTACTGAATATTTACCCTTTCATCTATGGGCCAGAAACTGGCTTTTTCTTATATTCTACAGTTGTACCTTTACCAATTTTACATGCAAAAGGATGCTGGACTTTTGTAAGTCTATTTGAGATATCCATAAATAATAGTATTCTGATTCTAAAATATGAATTGGTTGGGCCAGCAAGTGGCCTGGTGGTTAAAGCACTAAACTCCCACATGACCATCAGTGATTTGAGGCCTAGACCTGGCAACTTGCTTTCCCATTGTCCCTCTCTCTGTTGCTCTCTGTTTCTTTCTGTTCAAATAATAATTATAAATAAAATTAAATAAATAGTTACTTAAAAAATAAAATAAAATCTGATTTTGACTTCATTTATATCAACTAATTGTTTAACCCAAATATCAGCTTTTTGTAAAAAGCTTTCCGTTTATTACCATCCTGGGACAAAGCTTATTTTTCTTGCTTTATCCCAAGTAATATTTATTATATGATATTGCAATTAGTTGTTTACAAGTCTGTCTGTCTTACACACTGTGACCGCATAAGGAAAAGAACAGCTTTCCATATTGCCTGGCACTTATTCATTCACCCATTCATTCATTCATTCATTCATTCATTCATCTGACACATTTTAAAAGTCTGCTTAGCATCAAGAACTGTATTTTGCTCTAGGGATACCAAAGGTAAGTAAAAAAGGATCATATCTATCAGGAATTCATACCCTAACTCACATATAAGTAAACACTTATGGTTCGGCATGATGAGAGCTCTAGGAGTGTGGCACACAACAGTGGTTTGTTAATATATGCATACTGGTATGTACAATTTATAATGGTAAAGGATATATAAGCTAACAGCAGAATTTGCTTAACATGGTAAATACCTTGATTTTCTTTAGTTTTTACTATTACTACTATTTCCAGGGGACATGTGCACTCTCCAAAGACAGAGAGTGAGGGAGAAAGTACCCCATAATGGGATGTGCTTTTGCCACAATCCTTTCTCCATTTCCTCATGCTGTTGGGATTTGGGGCATACACGCACACATACATTGCATGTTTCAAGCTGCTGGGACCAGGATTTATACCATGGTCAGCCATCAGAGGTCTGACTTTGTTAACCACTAGGCTACTCTTTAATTTTTTTAATGTAAAAAATGCTTGCTATTTTTAAATTCTTTTTTTTTTTTTTCTTTAAATACCTTCCTGAGTGTTGGTGATGTGAGAGTGCTGGGTAATCAGACCAACACCCGAGCTGGTTCTTGTCTGACAGTCATGAAGAATTAGAGACGTGGACACAGAGAAGAGAGTAAAGTAGAGTTTATTATTAATTTACTTTTTAGAGAGATT